GTAAATTATGTTAAGTTGAGCCTACTACTGTGCTCAGTATTGTACATTAACAGTTACTTTAGAGCCTCAATGAGCAGTAGACATGTCTTTTCTGTCATCGCAATTGCACCTTGAAACCATACAAATTTGTCTTAAGTAATACGATCGTGCCTTTGAAAGTAGAGGTATTTTAAATACACTATTATATGCCTCGTGCATACAGCAATTTCCCTGTCTGTTGTGAAATATTCCTCTCAGTCACGACGTCTTAATGGTCCGAATTCATACACCATCGTAAGCGTCATAAATCGTTCACCCTACTTTAGCTATTTCGCAAGTGAAAGTCCAGTTAACCGTTCACGAAATACCTCAGAAACTCTGAATCTCTTTCGCGCGAAAAAATGCGAGTTTCGTTCGTCGGTGAAACCTGGCTCAAATAAATATTCTGTCCAAATTTCGAACTCTCGGAACGCAAACGCGGTGAAAATTCTTTCACGGTGTCTCGCATATTTATAAACGAAGATCTTCATCCACTCACTGGTTGCACAATACGAATAATGGTTAGATTTAGCCCGTGGCGTACGATTCCTAGAAACGCAACAAAAAGCTTCTTCGTCAAAGCAAACAAATGAAAATAATAGAGGGCTAAACAACGTGGAACTATTTGTCTTCCCTTGAGCTAGAATATATTGGTGTTAACAAGCAATTTGCTGTGTTTACAACGCAAAGAAGCTTGGGCCTGGCTACACATGGACTGGGCCGGACGACGAAACGCATTTATTTTCAATTAGCATGCTTTTCGGCTCCTTATCTTGGTGGACACGAATAACTGAGAACACGAAAGAGCTTCATTAGCAGTACGATGCTCGATAATGGTTCACATGGCTGTAATAGCTGCGACGCCTAATGGATCCTGTTTTTCAAACGTTACTTTATCGGCTACGCAAACATCATCACGTTAACCCTTGACGTATAGGGTTCTATGGAACTTACATTTGATGATAGTGCAAAATTGAATTAAAGAGATATACAACGATGTAACTTCAGCACTTTCACTTATGAAACCATCTTATATAAGATAGTATAACTATTCACTGAAAGCAGTGAGTTTAGTAGAAATTACTCCCTGCTCAAAGGGTTAACGACAGCATTCGAGTTCTAACTGAAGAAGACAGACCAAGATCGACGAGTTGATTGGACTCGATTAACGCGTTCACGCGCGACCGATAAATGGACCGACGGGGTCAGGGGACGGAAGAGCGGAGGATAGATCGAAACAGGACATCGAGTCCTGGGGGATGGCTGCTGGGCGGGTTGCTAGGTACCGGAAAGGGGACTAGCTCGCATACACAGAACGTGCTACTGCACCTGACCCATATAAATGCCACGGTATTGATCGACCTAATTCCGCGCAAAGTCGGCCTCCACCTCCTCTTCACCCGCACAGATTGCTGGTCGAAATTACGTAAGCTAACCTACTGACTCACTGCACCCGTTGCCGCAGCAGAAACTTTCAGTTATTACGACCGTGTTTCGAATTGTTCCTGTAATCGTTACTTCCTCGCCTGTTGGACCTTCACCACGCGTAAAAACGATATATATATATGTGACAGAATAATCTGTTACTTTCACCCACTTTGCGAGATGAATTCAAAGGGCAAAAGTATCATTTAGGAGTTACATCGAAATGAAACTATGCTGCACGTCGTTTCAGTAATAATTGCCAAGTATGGGGCAGACAGATATTAAGGAGAAAAGGAGGAGGTGTCACGCTCCCGAAGAGGATCGTTTACGGTTTCGTTACGTGAGAAAAGCCCGGTCTTGCTTAATTTACAAGCGAGTTGCAGCGATTGGCAGGCCCTCTTCGCGTGCACGCTTGCGTGTGAAAGGGCAAACCGAACGAAACCGAGCCCCGTTCCAACGATGAAAGAAGAAGCTACGTGGATGGCTCGGGTTATTCGTCTTCCACGGTTGAACAGCCGTTATTGTAACTTGAATTTTCCTCAGCGAAACACCCATGCGTCATGGTGTTGCTTTCTTTTATGGATTGCTTGAGTGGAAGGAATTTATTATGATGACGTGGTGCTAAGGGAGGATGGATTGTTACGGGATTTCTGTCAAGTTGAAAGGTGTTTCTGAATGTAGCATTTGAATGATTGTTGGAATGTTAAAAATGTCATTTTTTACACCACTTTTGTGACATCCTGTAGAATGTAGCAAGGAACACGGCCAATCACCGCAATGTATTTTGCGAGGATCCTTGGCCGGACGCAAGGTCTCGTTAAGGAGGTAGTTGGACGCATATGCTTTCGTCATCGATACCGTGGAGATTCGAAAGGCATTCGATTTCTCTTCGGTGACCTTTCCTTTCACGTGGGGCAGGTCGTGCCATGGCCAGCTGCAGCCTTGGCCAAAAACACCAACGTCGGCCGTCTACCTGCGTAACTACGCCCCAAAGCGGCCACCGGACGTTACACGTCACCATTACCCTTCCCCTCCCATCCCTTCCATGCCGCTAGTCCTTTGTGAAAGGATCTTCGAGGGCTCGGTTCGCGCACAACTTTACCCAAGAAAAAAAGAAGAGGAGAGAAGAAAAACGAAAAGTCGAGGAGGTCGTTGGCATCGGTCGTCGGTCATGGAACAGCCTTCTGTTATACACCCCTCTCGGGAAATGAGGGTAGAAGAGGGTACGGGCACGAAAGAAAGAGCTAGACAGAAGGTTGGAACGAAGGAAAGAAAAGGAGATTTTATACGAAAAGATAGGGATCTTCAGTCGTAGGTGGGTAGAAACGTGAATTCGAGGACCTTTCGTCGGGCAAAACCAACACGACGCGTCCTTTGCTCCCTATTTCGGTTGTCACGATACTGATGTCCTTCATGGAAATGCTAATGGGTCAAGAAACTGAGTTTTAGTAAACTATAAATCTTCTCTCGATTTTGGAAAATATATTTTCTTTCTTAAGCTCAATGAGCTTAAATGCAAGCATCATTAAAGCTTATCCTATGACGTACTAACTCTTTCTACCAAGCAAGCTAGCATCCACTTTAGAAAAACCTGAATATAGCACCCAAGGGTAAATTAATATTCATCCCCTTATGGCACGAACGAGCTGTTTACCTCTCATGCCATCGAGATCTCTAGCAACAGAATAATTCACGTTTATTGTTCAACCTTTAACAGCCTTGCTGGACAGGTTTCACACGAGAAAGTATATTTTAAATTTCATATACAATTATAATATGACATTGTTGTGAATCAAAGCGACGCTATATCCGTTTACCGCATCAGTCACAAAGCATTCGTCTTCCGAGGGTTAAAAAGCAAGAGAGAAAGACAGCATCAGACCATCTAACCCTGTTTAAAGGTCAAAGCACCGTCTCCTTCGAGATCAGATAAATTCAACAACCCGACGTATCCTATGAAACGCTTCCCTAACCGGTCAATCGCGACAGTTGTATCGGATTCCACGACGTTCGTCGAGGGTGAGAGAGGAAAGCATTTCGACGGGCTGCGTGTGGTGGAAAGGCGAGGGACAGGTGTCCGGCGAGGGTGCATTCACGGTCTAACGATCGGCAACCAGACTCCTTTTAACGCTCCCTCCCCGATGCAACGTGTGGGTGCGCGCAGCCTTTTTACTCGGCTCTACGTCCAGATACCTTCGATTTTAGGCGAAATAGAGGCATACGCACACGTGCACACATGCCTTGTGACCGTGTGCGCATGCAGGTTCACACATGCCGATGGTAAATCCAGCGTGGAAGGTTCTGTCGTGCGAGAGAATTTTCGAAGGGAGGACAAAATCGCGTTGGAGCTCGGTTAGAACACTCGAAAAAGGAATTATTAAATAACATGACAAAATTGAATTCGGGTAGATTTTAAAGCAAGAGCACTATACAGGAGTTGTAGAAGAATGAATTTTATTCGATGCTCTGATGAGTTCATGCAGTTTTTTACATAAAGTATTGAAACTTCCTTTGAATATTATTATAAAAGAATCTTCTTCTACATCTTCACTGAAGATGAATTTTATGCACTCTTTACGTGTGCTTTTTTTGCAGTACAAAATTTTCAGACGACCTATCATCTCTTTTGACATCTAACCTTTCGATTATGGCTTTTATTATTTCCCACCTACGTATTTTTAAAAATAAATCAATAAGTTAGTGTTCAACGAATTAAGTGATACGAGTTTATGGGAGGGTCTATAATAAATTTTTCTTTTACAGTTAAAAAAATTATTCATTTTCTTTTGGTTGTCTACTTTTAGGATCCACTATGCATCATCTTTACGATCTCTTTTGTTGAACACTGAACGTGGCTTTGGCTTCGATTTGAGAACATATACATTTTTTTTTAACGACGTCCATGAGGGAGCTCTGTGTGGTTTCTTTAAGGTTTTTACGAGGTCTCGTTAACGCTTTGCGGTTCACATTAGGCTTTAGTCCTGTCTGGTTCGGTACTTAGATATGATTTTTTACTAAACAGATTCCTCGTTTTACGATTCTCCAGAAATCTCTGATAAACTGATTGCAACTAGTTAGGGAAGTAAGTTTATATTTCTTTTTAACGATCAATATCACAATTCCACTCTCTCAGAGAGTCGGTGACGGCAGTCTATTTCTAGCTGAAAGTTAAATATAGGCACAATCGATTCTTTTGTGAATAAAAATACTTCTTTCTACGATTTCAATGTTATCGTTTTAGTATATTTTGTATGGTAAACATGATTCTAGATGAGAAAGATCCAATCACATGTTCGTTTATACTATAAATAATATATTTAGAGGAAAGGAACCTGTAAGAACTCACAACTGAAAGGTTCATCTAGGAATAGAAATGATAATTCCATGCAAGATTTCTAAGGATTTTTGAAATGGATTCTACAGGACGATTCAATATTTCTGTATCAGTCATTTTCTCTAAGTTTTATGATGAACTTAGCTTGTCGCGCTATACTATATATGCACAAACATCCACAGTTTAATTATCCGGACTAATTTGATGCAAGTTAAAGACTTACCCAATCACGTGTGGCACGTCGATGGAGTGAGAAGAAGCCCGTTTCCGATCTCCGGCCATATCGGCAAGCCTAGCGAAATCTGTATCTTGATCGGCCAGTCGAGCACTCTTACGTGACTCGAGCAACCTGACCTCGTCTATACGTTTGGTCAGCCTCATCGTCTGCAACAGGATAAATTTCGCCACGTTAAGATCGAGTGTCATACCCGAAAAATCAGTTTTTTAACCCGGTATAAAGTTATCGAATGATCAGATCCTGATATTCGATGTCCCATTCAAGACTAACCCTTAACCCTTTAAAACTTCGAACTCTAGTATGTGCTTATGTCCCACTGCACCTTTTAACTTTACATAATTATCTATACAAGGCGTTTTATAATACTTGGTTTATATTATTTACATGTAACAATTACTACATCAGTAGTGTTAAAGTATATATTAAAAAAAAAATTTTTTCCGAGTCATCGCGCTTACAGGAGAAAGCGTGGAATTTTGAGCGGACTAAACTTTCCCCTGAATCAGGCGTATCATTTAACTGCACGATCAATGATTACTTCCTTGTAACTACATTCTATTCGCGAGTGGGATTCCTATTTCAGGAGCAAACACGTTATTCAAAGACCGGTTGCGTCAGTACCTATTTACAGGCGATATATCTTCAATATGAAGTGGAATACAATAAAATATATTTTCAAGTTATCATTTCTGATACTTTTCTAAATTTCAGTTGGATACAAGGAAACTGCGAGCTTGTTATTACTAATAATCAGAAACGGCAAGAAACATGTATGAGTTCTTGCAAATTCTTGTTTAAGGCGTGGAAAAAGATCAAAGAAAACTGCTTGGTCCACTTAAAATCCAACTTCTTTGCCTAACCCGCCACACCTGTTCACGGAGTAAATTCTAATCGACTTGTTTGACAGTTGAGAAAAAAAGAGGTTAATTAATGACTATTAAATAACGTAATAACAGTGTACCGATAATCGTGATTAACCCTGCTTATTGGAAAACTAGATACATAATATAAATCAAGTTTTTCCGATCAACAGTTTTAGTTAATACTTCGTAAAAAGGACAGTATTAAATATTTTCTTTCGACTTTCCATGAAATGATGACTTCGAATTAAATCTAGAGGGGGAAAAAGAGAACTTCGGTATGTATACGCGTTTCAGGTCCTTTTAACTCGCGGCGTTGAACTCCGCGTGAGGAAACGATCAGAACCAACCAAGCAAACTGTTTACCCGTGGCAACATCGTCATTATATTCGCATTATCGTGCCTTTGACCGGAGATTTGCACGAGCACAAGTGCATCCGCTGTATTTCAACTCGCAGAAAAAGCGTTCTCCAAGTTCTGTCTGGTACTTTACGATCCACGTGTTCGGGTATCGATATAATCGCAGGAAATTAACAAGTGTTTATTAAAAAAGTATCCTGTTCCAATACTTTTACATAATAAAATACTTGAGGTTTTGTTTCACTGCGCCTTGTTGGATCCATTTTATCGTCTAGTTAACTAAACTATTCAATTTACATGCACGATACTCTGTTTCCATGGACTGCACACGGTACACGCATTCATAATTGGAGAACACGCGTAATATCATGGCGGTGCAACGATCGTGTTCGCGGGAACGGTTTTATCGGGATCCCCGTGGCGATCCATGAAGATTTCCTCGGGGAATACAATCACGGTTAAGCAATCGTTGCTTCGAGCAATAACGTAGCCCGATTTCCAGCTCGATCGGCTGTAACTTTAGGCTGAAATACGAAGGAATTCACGAGCACGAACGCCCACATGAGGATACCAAAACAACATCTATAGAGAAGCTCGCGATTTGCCTGGTGGGCGACGATCTTTTGGTATTTTTCAAGATAGTTTAGCGGAAACAAAGATTTAAGAACTGAAAACGGTATATTCCAGAGGGTGGATAAAGTATTATAGATTTTCAAAGTTAAGTTAATTCTTCTTAAAACAGGTTTTTCATTACAATTGTCTCAATCTACTTTCAGTACCAGAAGCTAAGTTTATCAGTTTCTTTTTTTGCAAGTACTCTAATAAAACATCTAAAAATATTTTCCGAGGATTCTCTAATTTTACCAGAACAAAGGGGATTGTTTTCCTTCGTGGAATTTATGTCACATAGTACAGAACACTTTCTGTCTCGCGTTAAACTCTGTTGAAAAAATATATCTTTTTACAATGATTTCTGTAGTACAAAAGACTTTGCTACTGACAAATAATTCTGAATAAAGCAATTTATTTATTCCTTCCTTTTTTAACCTCAAGTTTTATAACTCTCTCTTTTGAACATCAAAGCTTCAGCACTTCAAAAATTCTTCTTGTTTAACTTTTGAAAAGGTTCTCACATGGGGCTAATGTAAAAATGTCAACTCTTGATGGATGTCGTATGGGATTGCTTATTGCAGAAGATAAAAGTGCTCTAATTCAATCGTCATATCCTCCAAGGGGTTAATTACCATTCTCCCCTTGTGTGTTTTTCAGTTTCATGATTTACCGATCGATTCGATGAATCAAAACAGAGTGATTTAATTTTTTACACCCAGTCCTTCATCCATCGAATCGAGCTAGCTGTACAGAGTGTTTCACACGCTCAAACTCATGAGTTTCATGGGTTTTCTCTCATGAAAAAGTTACAGATTGGTCATCTAATTCTGTGACAGCCTGTAGGTCGGTGCTGTCCAGGTGAACAAGAACGAAATGGATGGTTAGCATCGTGCTCTTATATAATTTTAATCCATCGTTGAATAGCAACGGAACGAGGTAGGAATCACGCGCCACTGAATTCGGCATGTACCTAAATACACCGGTAACGAATGTCATGCACGCCACAGTTCGCCGACCAGGCCGAATTCCCTGGTCGCGTCGCGACGATTCACGCACGCACAGAGACTACCGTTAGTTAATTCGATGAAGCCTTCAATTATGACCGAACGATAATAGCGTATGAATTACAAGCCATTGCGAGGTCTCGTCGCGTTCATCGACGCAGACAAGAGACAGAAGGATAGGAAGACAGAGACAAAAAAGAACGAAAGTTTCTGTGCCATGAGTTGTCTCGGACCCACCGCCTATACCTCTCATTGTCAGTTAAAATACACGCAGCTGTCAGACACGCTCTTCCGTGGTCTTATCTATACATACTATCCGGAAAACTGCTCTCCTTTTTCTCTCTTTAGTTTTTTATCGGCCAGGTTCTGTTCATTAACCGACCTTTCGTTTTACGAGTCATCTCCTGAATGGACGCCTACTCCTTCTTATAAAGATAGCGCACGTGACCATAACGCGCGCATCCTGAAACTAAAGGAGAATTTCACCCTTTAAAGTTCTCAGAATGTCTGCTTTACTCATTTACTATTAGCCACTTCAATTAAAATTGCGATTAACCTTACAAAATGTATGGTAACTTTGGTGTCAACAGTGATGAATCATCTTACAACAAATAAACGACACTCGTTTAAAAATAATCCCTCAATTAACTTGCTTTAAGCAATAACCCAATCACCTGTTCTCCATTCATCAACAAAAGAGGAGCAGAGAAAAACGGGGAAAAAAAACACGACGAGCCACCGTTTCAACGACCCAAGCCAATTCCCATCAACGAGAAGCTCCACGATCCATCATGCATCATCCTCCCTTATGCTCGAGCGTATTTTACTCAATCCCATTCAATTGAACTTCACCAAAGCATACGAGACGCGACCCTAAGCGGTCCTAAAACCCTTCTACACGACTTTATAATTTCACGTTACGCATAGGCTGCGCTGAAGGTTCCAAGAATCTAAATTCTCAAAACATTCAGCGTGGACCCGCGTAATCATGAAAGCTGCGATAACGTTGCTCGTTCACGCGGCGCGGAACGTGCGTTCAGACATCAAGGCCGGCTATCGACTGATTAAACATTAGGAAACCGACAATTAAAGTAAAAAAATCTTCATCGTAACACGAACCCAAGCTACTGGCGGATCTTCACGAGCATGGTTGGTTTCGCTATCGGAAATCGATAAGACTAACCGACCAGTCAGCTAGCCGGTCAGCCTGTTTTCCAGTTGAACTCTCTCACCTTCGTACCGCTTAAAGGCCGCCAAGAGGAAGGAAGACCGTTCAAAGGTCACCGGCTACACTCGCAAAGAAACAATTAAGGGCCCGAGAGGAAAAGCGAAGCGAGTGGACGTCGAGAGCGGGGTGAAAACGATGGAAAGGAGGAAATCCATGAAAAAGGTTGGAGAGAGGCGGAGGAGGAGGAGGAAGTATGCTCGAGGTCGGCATGCTCTATGGTCACCAAGCCACGTGCGCTGCACTCGAGCGCACTTTCACCGTCCACTTTCAAATTTCTTCCTCTCTCTCCCTTGAATTTTCCCTGGTTACCAGTTCGCCTTTACGTCGTAGACGATCCTTTTTCTTTCTCCCTTTCTCGCTGCGTTTTCTTCCGCTCGAGAAAGATCCAAGGGGGTCAATGACCCTCCTTGGTACCATACCAAATTCCTACGGAAGGATCACTTCCTGGGCTACCAGTCTGCACTGCTACGAGTTGTGCGTTTAAAAACACGGTTGCATAAGGATCGTTAGATAACATTAGAGGGCACGGAAGTCAGTGGCGCGTGATGTTATTCGATCAGAAGATTCGATGAAAGAAATTAGTCGATTAAGAAACGAGATACTTTTTGCAGCAAATGTTCTATTCATTTCTATTCGCAATTATCGAATTATAATACAGTTGCGTGTATATACAATATAAACGTGTGCAAACAAAAACAGAAGCCTGTCCCCGGTGACAATGATTGAAACTAAATGTCGGAAAACATGGTTCTTCAAAAGGGGGGAAGAATTTACTTTCGTCGAACGAGGAGCAGCACTATAGCGTGCTGCTCGCAATGGTGGGAGGTTGCGAAACGCAATAACGGGTGAAAGTGCATTTTGCTTCATTTCACAAGGTACACTTCGCGCCGAATTGCTCGCCGACGAAGAGTTTCGCCGCCTCGGGAGCGTGTTGCAACGACAAAACTTCGTTGAGCAACGAAATTTTACTTATGCAACGGTATGCGATCAACTTTGTTTAGATGGATTGCTAAAACAATTTTATTTAATTACTGACATTCAATTCAACATTTTACACGTCAATTTCGAGGAATACGGAAAGA